GAATATGGCCTAGTCCGCAGGGAATTGCTTGCCATTCTAGTTTGCGGAATCGGTTTAATATGGGAAATTCGTAATCGATTAGGATGTACAATTCGACTATTTTTCTTTATTTTAATCTTTACGTTGTTTCTATTTAAGATTTCTAAAATTTCGTGAGGCCCTGTATATTGATCTCCAAATTTGCCGGGTTTAGGCCCTTTCGATAGAAATACCAGATCCCCAGGTTTAAAGGTTTGAGGGTTAATTTTTCTATCATAGTGCCTCTTTGATTTATGTTTGGCCTCTTCAACATTATCACGAGCGTTTGTTTGTATAGAATGGAGTTGCGTGACAAGGTTTATTAGATAATCATTGTAACTGGCTAATTTATCGTCAGGCGCCAAAAGTTCGCCTGAAGGAATTCTGGCTATTTTCCCGAAAACCAACTCATATGGAGTATGTTTTGTTGCTTCATGTACACTAGTATTGTAATTAAACATCGCGAGGCAGATCCATCTATCCCATTGCTTTTGTGCATTAGCATATTGTTTTAAATATTCTCCTAGTGCATGATGTGATCTTTCTAATGATCCATTTGATTGAGGATGAAAGGCGGTCGTGCGAAATTTCCGAATTCTGAATATTTTTGCAATTTTCTTCATTAGATCGCTAATAAAATTTCTTCCTTGATCTGTCAATATAGCTTTAGGTGATCCTAGTACACAAATGAATCTGTCTACGAAAGCCTCCGCTATTGTCTCGGAAGTTTGATCTGGTAGAGGTACTCCCATGCAAAATTTTGTTAGTTGATCTTGCATTGTCAAAATATATTCGTTACCTCGTTCGGTTTTAGGTAAGGGTCCTACGATATCCATGGCAACCTTGTCAAACGAGGATCCTGGCGTGTCGGTGATTACCATAGGCTGTTTAGTTTTTACTCGTACTAGTTTTTTCAGCTGGCATTGTAAGCATTGTTGGATATATTTTTGAACATCGGATTTTAGATTTTCCCAGTAATAGTTATGTTTTATTCTATGGTAGGTTTTTGTAACACCTCGATGTCCTCCGGTAGGTGGACAATGTATTTCACCGATTATTATAGAGCGGAG